AATTGCATTTGCGTGGCGTGGTTATCCTCCGTCCAACGTTTTTAGTCCAGGATAAAATGTTTCGGAAATTCCTCAAAAAAATCCTCAAAAACCTAATCCTCAAAAACTTATGACATGAGAACATACGAATATATGTAATTATGTGCGTATAATGTTCCTACTTTCAAGTTTAAATTGCATTTGCGTGGCGTGGTTATCCTCCGTCCAACGTTTTTAGTCCAGGATAAAATGTTTCGGAAATTCCTCAAAAAAATCCTCAAAAACCTAATCCTCAAAAACTTATGACATGAGAACATACGAATATATGTAATTATGTGCGTATAATGTTCCTACTTTCAAGTTTAAATTGCATTTGCGTGGCGTGGTTATCCTCCGTCCAACGTTTTTAGTCCAGGATAAAATGTTTCGGAAATTCCTCAAAAAAATCCTCAAAAACCTAATCCTCAAAAACTTATGACATGAGAACATACGAATATATGTAATTATGTGCGTATAATGTTCCTACTTTCAAGTTTAAATTGCATTTGCGTGGCGTGGTTATCCTCCGTCCAACGTTTTTAGTCCAGGATAAAATGTTTCGGAAATTCCTCAAAAAAATCCTCAAAAACCTAAATTCCTTAAAAAAATCCTTAAAACTCTTCAAAATTCCTATTTTTAAGGATAATTCCTTAAAAGTAAGAGCACTGGGGTTAACATCCAATTGCCTCCGTGGGGAAGTGCGGATGTTTTGTGGTATGACCCATTCTCGTACCAAGGGCTTCTTTGCATAAGCCTTGGCTGGGGCAAATTAGAGAATTCAAAGAAAAACCCCACTGGAATTGGCATATACAGATTGGCAGGTTTATATATTGAGAGTGAAATAAACCCAGATGTTATATGATTGAAAAAGTATTATATATTATTTAAATACTATTAATATTAGACAATAGTCCAGTTAAAAAGCATTAGCATATACTGTACTTTAATTAAAATGTTTACAATAAATATTATTTATTAACCATACAACAATACTGAATCTATGGCTACATAAAATTTCTAGCTTGAGTTGAAAATGAAGTTATTTGTAGTACAGTACATCAAACTTGCAAAGTTCCTCTTCAAGGCTTTGTTCACAAGTCATCATAAGCTTCATAATCATCTACTATAAATATGTGCAATTATTTGTCTTTCGATGATTCAACCATTACGGATTCTTTTTGGATTTCTCCTTTTATATCTTGATGTATTTCTCCATTTTTCACCGGTACTGAACCATTCTATATAGAATAACAAGTAAACTATTAGATATTATTAAATACTGTAAACTACTGTATATAGGAATTATCTTTCCATAGCCAAGTCATATAAATGATTCAGCAATCTGGATATCTGGCAAAATATAGACATCTGGTAAAAATTTGCCAGATACAGTATTTACCAGATAGTAGTGGAACTTTTATTGTAAGCACAAAACTGTCTGTTTTGCATTAAGATATTGTGAAACACTAACTAGTAGTCTACCACACATGTGACACATTAAAATGAAATTACAGTTAAGTTTTTTTGTGATGCATGTATACAGGTATTCTCTGACGACCCTTGTGCCACACACTAAACATACAATGGACTATTTATTTTTATGACAAAAAGCCAGCGACATATTGTCCAAGTACCACCATTGGTATCCGGTTATTATCCAGTTATTATCCAGTAGACAGACTACTATCCGGTAAAGCGGTATGTCCAGCACGTCCCTATTATTTTATGCATTGTTTGCTTTTGGCCTAGCTGTTATTGATATATTACATATACTCCTGTTTTGGTAAATGAGTGGAAAGTGTCTTGGGTCACAGAGCAGCACTATTTTTCAAGCACCTTTGCTTTTGTCAGAGTACGGCCTAGCCACATTAGTGAAGATCATAAAATTTTACAAAATGCAAACATTCTAAAATTTTATATGAGGTCAGCTACAACTGTATCTGTTCCAGTGAGCTCGATATATATATATATATATATATATATATATATATATATATATATATATATATATATATATATATATATATCTGGAGCTCCTTCAATTTCTGCCATCTTGGCAAGGAGTGTGCCAAAATTTTGTATTATAACTTGGTTAGTGATACGGTCAGTTAGGAAAAGCTGGATTTAGCTGGGGAAAAATGGTATAAAAACTGTTTATGACCTTAGTTTGGAGCTATGACGTCAATGGCTGCCATCTTGGCTTGCACAATCGGTCAATCCCTATCTGTGCCATTGTAGGTAAAAAAATACAAACTTGCAGAACTTTGACATTTTGAGCAAAGGACCTTTGTTGGGAAGTTAGTAGTGAAGTCGGATGGGAAAATGACATGAGCTTTTATACTACTGGTAGTGACTATAAAAGCAATCATGGGACAAAAATAAACCAATTGGTATAAATTAACATAACATAAAATGCAAATCACATTACATAATCAATTAATGCAAATATGGGGAAAACTACAACGAATACAAATATATGAAACAATTAAGTAATATATTTGTTGTAGTTTTCCATATGGTTGTATTAATGTACTCTGTAATGCGATTTACAATTTTTTGTTTATAGTTTGTTTTGACTAAATCCATCTGATTATTGGTTTATTTTTTGTCACATGATCTCTTTTAATTTGCTAGTATCAAACTCATATAATTTTCCAGACCCCGTCACAGAATACGGTACACAGAAGGAAGCGTAAACGCTGCCATGCCATTGTTCATCATCCATGGTCTTAGCCAACTGTGCACTTATGAGAGGCATTCCCCCTGGACGTCTGCCATTTTGAATATTATCAGGGGATGAATGCTTTCAAACACGCACTGGCTAGGACGGTTACGCCAAAATCATATACAGACATACATATAGGAAAAACGAAGAAGTCAGGCTTCTGTATATCTGTGCCCCCACCACTAACATCCCGACGAAGGGCTTTTTCTCGAAAAATTGAAGTTCTTCTTGTATTTTTGAGGTAGTCGCATCTCTCCCAATATGCAGCTGTCTTAGCTATATTCCAAATATAAATTTGTCAACGACATGAAGATATTAAATATTAAATAAATACTTTAAAATGCCCTATATTCTATCAGATCGGAATCAATAAAATATTTTCAATGTGTTCATGTGATAATTTTGCAAAACACAACGAAAATTCAGTGGTCAAAATTCAGTTTGTAGTGTCAAAATATTTAAAAAAACAAAAAATCTATACCTTGCTATCGGGTTCATTGGGAGCAGCCTTGTCTGAGATGGGTTTCTTGCCGTACCACATATCGACTATGGGCTGTATAAACTTGTGCCAAATAAACAGCGCTATTGGCACAAGGATACACGTTATTCAGACCATAGTTCTGACTTAAAAATATCTAGAATAAACCACTTTATTTGGCAGAAAAACCCCACAAAATCTTCGGTGTTTCAGTGCCAGAATGATGAAGAATGATGTATGAATATATAATTTCTCTGCGCGTGACTGCAATAATACGCACTTTGTGATTGGTTGTAGTAAACAGCCATGACCAATCAAAAAGCTTGTAAGATCAAATAAAACTTGGTCTTTTTCCAAAAGGCGGTAAACGTTCGCCGATTTCGAAATTTTTGACGACTTCAAATTTCAAAACAAAATGGAGGAAATTTTGGTATGCAAATTTGATATTTTGAACTACTTTCTCTGCTTTTGGGGGTTTTGGGGCTTAAATATTTGACTTATTTAACAATACAATATTATTTTGACTTTGATCATTCTCTGTGTTGTTGTATTTTTGTAGAAAAACTTAAAAGAAAGGACAGAAGACAAAGCAAAATTGCAAAACATTTTTCATCTTTTGAAAGTGTATGTGAATAATATCGTTCAAAATCCAACCAATGCGAAGTACAGGAAGATACGAAAAAGTGAGATAATGTAAAAAGCTAGTCAGAGTTACATGTAAAATCATGTAAAATACTAAAATCAGTTACATATAAAATCATTTTCAAAAAAATCATGCATTTGGGGCAGACTATAAAGTTTGTCCTGCGCGGGGAACGTGTTCCCTGCTGTATGGCTGCCTGCGCATTTTCAAGAAAATCCTCAAGAAAATCCTCAAATCCCCAACACGTAAGAGACAACTCTTACGTGTTGGGCCTTGCGAGAGAACTCTGAAAATGCCATTTCAGACCATCTAGAGACTCAAAATTTTCTCAAATGTTCTGCCTTCATTTCCACGCAACTGCCATTTACGATGAAAAGTTCCCCGCACGAAAATAATAATATCATTTCTTACAATCTGGGGCTGTGACTGCTTTGAGCCAGAGGTGGTTAGCCTGTGAACAGACAATTCTCTTGACGAAGCACGCTAAAGGTGGTTTGATAATCACCTTGATAATCACCTAAGTAATCACCCACTGTATCAATGTTAGGGTGGAAGTGGGTAAGCTTTTTATATTGTATGATATGAAAATATCAAAGCACATACATTATTTATAGGCCCATAGCTCAAAAATTAAGGCACATGTATTGAAGCAAAATATGGAATGTGGGCTCAACCGGAAATATATTAAATGCAAACTTGTACCCAAGACTTAAAGAATGAGTACAGATCTTTCTTTAAGTTGTCAAAAACCTCAGCCCCTGGAACTGTACTGACCTTTAAATTTCACCATTGACTGGACCTACCTTCTTGTGAAAACCTGCTCCTTGTCCTCCTTTACCCTAATGA